GCAGTGAGTGGACTCTCCTCCCCACCCCCTCCTTCCAAGCAGAAGGAAGGAATCGGAGCCAAACACTGGGCTGTGGGCTTGGCTGGCCCATCATTTGTCTGCACACAGAGCTACAAATTAGCCTTTGTCCAGGGCTGGAATAAGGACCTTGGGGACGGGGTGGCCCTACGGAAAGCCTCTCCAGTCAGTACTCAGGATGGAGGAGGCCCTTCGGCCTGGCACTGCCCGGATGTCACCGACCACACCCACCGACGCAGACAAACTGGCAAACTGAACACTGGCAGCCACCCTAGCGGACACATACCGCTCCCTGGTGGTGAAAGGGAGACACGTACTGACTCAGGGACACAAATACAGAGACATTCATCCTGTATGGGCACAGACACAGAGAAACAGCATGCCCTGGTGGTCAGAGCGAGACATGCACACATATCTGGAAATAAATAAAAGATAAACGGTGTGGCTCTAAACCACACACAAAGTTATAGGGACTCACGCATACACATATGGACAATATACCCCCAGATAGTCACAGACGTACACAAGCTTCAAGTTCACACACCTGCATTCAGCACCCACTACGTGCCAGGCTGTGTACCGGAGGGTGGCAGTTGGGGCACAATAATAAAAATCCTGCTCCAGATCTTCAGGAACTCAGTGTAGTCGGATCGAGGGGCAGAATGAGCCACATGCCCCAGTGAACTACAAACCAATCACAGAGGGAGTCTTGGAGGAGGGTGGGAAGGTCAGAGTGGGCTTCATGGAAGCGGTGGCATTTACACCGACTCTTAAGGATAAATTCAGGGATCACATGAGTGTTGGGAGAAAAGTGCTCTAAGGACGCTGTGGACTAAGGGGTAGATAGAAGTTTAACTGATCGCGAGTTGTGACCACAGTGCGAGTAGTGCCTCTGGAGCTGTGCAATTCATAACCTGTACCAGGCCGTGTGGGAACCGGGGTGATGTGGTGGCTATGGGAAAGCTGGGCTTAGTGGGTTGGGGAGTTAAATCAGGTGAGAACAAGGAACTTGCACTCCATTCTGTCAAAGAGGTTACCAGGGGCTTGGGGAGTGTGAGTGATCAGAGAGGTGGTTTACAATGCCTGGCCTGGAGGCTGTGAGGAGGTGGCTAAGAGGGGGAGAGAGAAGGGGTTCAGGGACACACATCAGAATCACTAGGGGAGCTTTACTCATCTCTCAGGCCACCCCAGAGGGTCCCATCTCTTGGTGTGGGTAGGGCTTGGGTCAGGTTTGGGTAGTAGTCAGAGCTCCCCAGGTGCTGTGGGGACACAGTGAGAGGCATCCTAGTTGGGGTGGGGAGAGAGAAGCCAGGGATTAGGAAAAAGGAGCGAATAAAGCAGCGGTTCTCAACCTGTGGGTCGCGACCCCTTTGGGGGTCGAACGACCCTTTCCCAGGGGTCGCCTAAGACCATCGGAAAACACATATATAATTACATATTGCTTTTGTGATTAATCACTATGCTTTAATTATGTTCAATTTGTAACAATGAAAATACATCCTGCATATCAGATATTTACATTACGATTCATAACAGTAGCAAAATGACCCTTTCACAGGGGTCGCCTAAGACCATCGGAAAACACATATATAATTACATATTGTTTTTGTGATTAATCACTATGCTTTAATTATGTTCAATTTGTAACAATGAAAATACATCCTGCATATCAGATATTTACATTACGATTCATAACAGTAGCAAAATTACAGTTATGAAGTAGCAACGAAAATAATTTTATGGTTGGGGGTCACCACAACATGAGGAACTGTATTAAAGGGTCACGGCATTAGGAAGGTTGAGAACCACTGGAATAAAGGAACAGAGGCCCACCTAGTGGCCACAGCCCAGAACTGCATGCTTACAAATGCTGGTTCAACAGCCAGCCCCCCTTAGCACTGAGAGATGAGCATGACATTTGAGTTTAGCCAAGGCCATTAGCTGCCCCCAACATGCACCCGACCACAGGGGGCCCTGCTGTAAACCAGGCCTTGGTAAGGGGATGCATGAATCACCACGCCTCAGTCTCCAGGTGACACATGCCTTAGCTAGACACATGCACACTCACACAGATACAATCGTACAGCTAAGTCAACACACAGCCAGGTACTCCACAGACAGACAAATGCACACACCACCCAGACATACAACACAGCCCCACCCTGGCCCAGGGTGATGGTGTGGGGGGATCCACAAACGATTTCCTGAAACTCCTCAGACAGCCCTTGGGCACAGGCTCGAGTTCCCAGATTCATCACAGGGAACCCATCACAGAAACCTGAAGGTTCTTGAGGCAGCGGGAAGCCTAGATCCTGGAGAGGGCCTTCCAATCCATCCTCCCAGAGGGGGTGACATGGGCCTTCTGTAGTCTCACCAACATTCAGGCTACAAAGATCCCTCGCCTCTAACCTCTATACCACTCTGGACCCTCTGGTCTGTTTAAGGTGGAAGGAAACAGAGAACAGCAGTGCAGGTGTTGAGAGGTTTGGGCTGTGAGGTGGGGGAAGGGACACGGGATTACTTACTTGTGCCAGGCCTGGTGGCTGACCCAGGAGCAGAAGGAGGCATGGGAATGGGCTGGGGTTTAGAGGAGAACAGAGGCAGGTGACTGCAGGGACTCCTGTACCCCAATTCATCACCTGCCTGACTCCTTCTCTCCTCAGCTTGAATATCACCTCCTCAGAGAGGCCCTCCAAGGCCACATCTAATTTGTGCTCTTGGCTTCCTTTATCATGTCATTTTCCTTCACAGCACTTCACATGAGTTGTCACTATGGGTGTTTAGGTTCCAGTGTCCAGCTCCCCTTTCTGGTTGTGAGCTCAGTATGTGTGCCGGTGTGTGCATGTGACAGGCAGGGGTGACTTCCGCTTCTAATGACCACTGGCCTCACAGTGTTGAGCCCAGATACTGGTCAGCAGGCAGTAGCCTGAATGAATGAGGGGCCTGGGTGACTGAGTGACCATGTGCTGGGGCTGGGGGCCCGCTGGAGGCTCACCCGGGAGCAGTGGCGGGTGACGGCCAGCACCTCATCGTCAGTCAGCAGCCGCCGGGCCAGGTCCTGAATAAGGGGCCGACGGCTCTCCCAGGCCTGCACCTGCTCATCCACATTGGGCAGCTGGCTGGAGGGGCTCCCGGACCTGGCAGAGAGCAGGGCCCGGCCCCTCTCCCGGTCTGCAGGGCAGGAGCAAAGGGATATGATGAAGGAGCCTGGAGCCATCAGGAGAGGAGGTAGGGGCTTCCCTAGATGGGGGTCAAACCCCAGGACATTCTGGCTGAGAGGCCCAGGTGCCCCTGATGGAGTCCCAGCCATGCTCCCCAACACAGTCTCCCATGGTGATCTGCCCACCAATGGAGCTCTACCCCAGGCCCCTCTGCCCCCCAACACAGACCCCTCTACCAGTCTGTTCCTTAATGGACTCCTGGCCCAGCAGCCCTTGGATTCCCTGACATACACTGTCCTACTAGTCTGGTTCCCATTGGAGTTCTCACAGGCTTCCTCATATCCCCCAAATCAGTATTTGGGAATCCCAACTCAAACTCCAGGTTCCTAAAAATGTACCGCAGTATCTGTCTGCAACCCTATCTTTCCTAGTCCAGTTCTTTTAGCTGCCCCCAATATGTACCTCCCTATCTGCCTGGTCCCTCATGCTTGATCTCAACTGAGCTTAGCCCAAAGACCCTTAGCTGCCCCCAACATGCACCCCACCCCATCAGCAGCTCTGCTGTAAATCTCTTTGGTAAGGAGATGCATGAATTACCACGTCTCAGCCTCCAGGTGACAAACTTCTGCACAGGTCCTGCTCCCCCTGCTAAGAAGAAAAGGCTCAGCAGCAGGCCCTGTCCCCAATCTGAAAATGGGGGTTCAGGACTGGATGGATCACTGGTTGGTATGGAGAGTTCAGGCTGAAGGCGGTGGGATGGGGAGGCCATGAGGGTCTTGAAGGCCACGCTCAGGCCAAGAACTTTGTTTACAGGCAGTGGTGAGTTCGTGAAGGTTCTGGATCAAGAGAGGGTACAGTCTGAGCTCTGCTTATAGAGATTCATTTGGAAGCAAATGGATGGAGGCAAGCACCCTAGGGACAGAGTTTTGGGGCGCACTTACCTTCAGGGGACAAAGAGAAAAGGGACAGCCTTGGAAGGAGAGAGAAGAGTGGCCTGAGAGGTGGGAGGAGAACCAGGAGAGAGCAGGGCCCTGGGGGCTGTGGAGAGAGAGATGAGTTGAGGAAGGGGAGCTGGCCTGCCCTTATTTGAAGGGATTGTCTCTCCCATGGGACTGTCACCTTGAGACCCCCGCGGGGGAGGGGTGCCTTATTTGAAGGGATTGTCTCTCCCATGGGACTGTCAGGGACCCCCGCAAGGGGGGGGGGGGGCCAGGGCCCAGCTCCTCATCCTCTAGTGGTTTTTGCCTGACCAACATCCACTCTCCCCTCTGGAACACACTTTGATTTCACCCAGGGACCCCCATCCTCAGTGCATGTTCCCCAGGGGAGCTGAGAAAGCGTCTCTCTCCCACATCACAGTGATGTGCTGGGCGTGTGGTCCCCGCTGGGCCAGTGAGAGCCTGAGGCTTCCGTGGAGACTCTGAGAAGCTCTCTTTCCTTTGTGTTGCTAAGTGGCCATCTTAGCTCAAGTGGCCAAAGCCCTCACGACAATAAGCCAATCCAGGGGGAGGGAACCAAAGACGAGAGGGCAGATGTCCGAGGAGACTGTTCCATCTTTAGGTCCAGCTTAAATCAGTAGTTGAGCCAAGAGGTGCTTTTTAAAGCTACTTTGAGTAGAGTTTCTGTCACAGGCAACCTCAACAGTCAAGCCACCCACTCTTGGTCCAGTCTCCGAACCTCACGTGGGAGATGAGAGGCCCTCCGTGAGGACCCTGAGGAGGCCCCTGACATGAGTGAAGCCTGCCTCGGCCCTTCCACGGGGGCCCTGATCTAGAAACGCCGTGCTCAGGGATGGTTCTAGAAGTGGGTAGGGCCTGTGGAGTTCTGGCCAGGGGAGGTGATGCCAAATATTCTAGGAAAAGAGTGCCCTGCCCTCCCCTCAGAACCGAGCTCCTCCGCTTGCTCCTGTGCTGTGACTCCATCAGTTTTCCCTTCTGTAAAATGGGCAGACGAGGTCATGTAAGAATGACCACTACATTTTCTGGGCACCTGTGTGGCAGATAATGTCCTAAGTGATGAATATACACTAGCTCACTTATTCCTCACTATTCCTGAAGATACAGGTATTATTACTTCAGTTTTACTCCTGAGGAAGCTGGGGCTCACGGGGTGCAGTGGAGACTCACGGCAAGTGAGAGGCAGCGTGGGGCTGGATGCCAAGGTGGACCTTTCCTCCCTGTCTGACCAGCCCAGCACTTACCTTTCTCCATGTCCAGGCGAGGACGGGGCTTGGCCGGGCTCCCTCTCTCCAGTGTCCAGGCCTCTCTGCGCCCGTCCCCCAGCCGCCCCTGCCGCCCTCCCTTGAAGAAGAGGTTCATCAGTGTCTTGGAGCGTTGCAGGGCCCCCTTCTCCCCAGAGGACCCCGACTTCTCCTTCTTCCGCTGCTTCTTCTCTTCTGCAGACACGAGGGAGCACCCGGGAGGCTGGAGGGGCGGGCAGAAGGGAAGGACCAGGGGCCGGGGTGTGGGGAGGGGCAGAGAGAAGGGAGAGTAGGGGGACAGACAGGGTCTGCAGCCATGTGGGGAAGCGGGGATGGGGGCAGGGAGGTTGGGAGGGCCAGGGGCCCTCCTCCAATTTTTCACGCCTACTTTACCCACAGCTACAGCTATGTGAGGAAGCCATGAGGACTGGAGTGTGTGTGTGTGTGTGTGTGTGTACAGGTCTGGGCACTCCAGGCTGGAGGGCTTGTTAGGGCTCTATTGGGGCTCAGAGGGACTGGAGCTGGAGCTGGGTCTGGGTCTGAGTGTATTTTGGGGCTGAGGCTGGGTCAAAGCTTGGGCAAAGAGGGGTTTGGGGCCCAGGATGGGGTCTAAGGGAGGTTTTGGAACAGGGGCTTTAAAGAGAGCAGCAGCCACCCATCCCCCACGTACCCCACAAGGTCAGGTGGCTCTGGGAGCGTGTAATGGGGGGCCGGGGTCGGCTGAGGGCCAGCAGCAGAGCAGTCTTGGGGGACTCAGAGAGAGCAGAGTCAACGCGGCGGGCGGCGGAGGGTCCGTCGGAGCGGATGGCTGTGTCCCTGAGGATGACTGTGGGCCGCACGCTGCACCAGGTCTCCACGCGGCCGCCCACATCGGGGTCCGTCTGCATGGCTGTGTCTGCTCGCCCCCAGCCTGGGCCTCGGCTGCTGGGCTCCTCCGGCCCCAGGCAGACATCCAAGCGGTCAGAGGGCAGGGAGCTGGAGCCCTCAGCCGAGCTGTAGGGGGCGCTGGAGGCGTATGAGGAGACGCTGGAGCTGCTCTCAGAGGCCTGGGACAGCTGCTGCAACACCCCGTTGCTCACTGCGGGCATAGGGAAGGCAGGGGCATTTCCGGGGACCGGCAGGTTGCTTCAGGGCCCTGCCAGGCTTGCAGACTACCCCTGGGCTTGGGGGGGGGGGGTTGTTGGGGAGGATCCGATAACAGCCAAGGTTGGATGCTCAGCATCCTGCCAGTAGGATGAGACCGTAAGGAAGTCACTTCTCCTCCACCCCACCCCCTTGGGACTCCAGATCCTAGGAGAGCCTGAAACAGGACCTGCACCTTCTCAGAGAAGGGCCCCAAACAGCGCTGGGCAGTGTGAAAATCCCAGTAAGATCCTGGTCCCCCTGCCCATTTAGTCCTCAGATATTCCGGCCCCACCCTCAGGCCCTGCCCTTTCCCTTCAGCCTTCGAGGCCTGAGCCACTTACGTCGGTCCAGCCAACAGTACTCAGAAACCATCTCCTTGTAGGCAGGGTACCGGCCAGTCTCCTGGGGCGGGCATGGTGGGCAGAGGAGGGCATCGGGATGGGTCAGAAGGGAGAGAAACAATGAGGAGTGATGGCACAGGAGTGAACTTTTCAACCCTCTTACTCTCCATCATGCTCTAGCCACACAGGCCACTTTGTTTCTGTGCATGCCAAGTTTCTCCACACTCCAGGGCCTTTGCACCTGCTGTTCCTTCTGATTGGATTCTCTTCCTTCAGCTCATCAGGTGGCCAGCTCCTTTCCCCTCTTCAGGTATTACCTCCTCAGAGAGGCCCACTCTGACATCCCCCGACTAAAAGTGTCTTCCTAAATCACCTCCGCCCCTCTCTCTGTTAATTTCCTATAGCATTTGTCACAATCTGCATGTATCTAGTTTATTTATCTGTCTCTGCCAATAACAAAGACCTTGTCTGTTCGTTGTTGTAGTTTCAGGACCTTGCATACTGGCCATCCTATGGTAGGTGCTAAAAAATATTGAATGAATGAATGGATGAATGAGGGGCTGAGTGGGAGTAAGGAGGAGCATTTGAGAGGAAGGAAAGGAAGAGTGGAATGCGGGAGGGGTGGGAAATAAAGGCAGTGGGGGCGGGGAATGGTGGAGGAGGCGCGGGATGGTGAAATGGGTGAAAGGCTTGGAGAAGGGAGAAGGGTGGAGCAGGGGCCAGGACGAGGCACTAGGCAGAGTGAGGCATCACATCCTCCAGGAGCCAGAGTGAGAAAGACCTGATCCTCAGGCAAGTGTGAGACCCACATGAATAATGGATCCAGCCACGTCCCCTGAAACCCAATCTCTGTACAGCCCAGCCCTTCTTGCCCTGAACCCTGAGGAAGCCCACCACCTAGTCCTACCCAAAGCCATAGCCACCGCCCACCTTTCTGAGCGGGACATTTCTTTTTCCTTTTACTCCTAGACCTCCCCCACTCATACAAAGGGGCACTGCCCTAGACACTTGGGGAGCGGGCCTGGAACAGGCCCCGATACTGACCACCCGGGGAATTGCCTGGGGCTCCTCAGTTACTTTGCCTTTCTGAGCCTTCTTTCTTCTGCAAAATAAGGACAATGCCTGCCCTACCTCTCATGTGGCTGTGAAAAAGTCCAGTTGCAGAGCAATGGGCATAATTAAGAACTAGGGTGCTCTAGGAAGTCTTCCCTACTGTCTGGCCTCTCCCTGACTCCCACAGTTCTGCCCACCTTGATGGTCAACATGATGTGCGTTTGGCCCTTCAGCACCTCCACGGCCTGGCTGTGGCTGATGTCATCGAACCTGACACCGTTGGCCGCCAGGACCTGGTCTCCCACCTTGATACCGTTCTCCTCGGCCAGCCCACCATGATCCACTCTAGGGTCAGACAGGCAGCAGTCCGGTAAGCCCCCAGGCCTGCCCTCCCTCACCCCAGTCCAGACCCTCTTCACTTGGATACAGGGATGCCCCAGGCAAACTCCTTGACCCTCCTCCTGGTGACCCGGCCCCCCTCTGCTGATCCCACCCCTGACCTAAGCCCTCATTTGAACTTGTAGTTGGCCAGGCCTCCCTTGCTAACCCATCCCCAGGTCCCAGCCCAGGTCAAGCCCCAAGCCCCATTCCCTACCCTACCCATTTCATTCCCTGCCCACTCCTCACTTGGACACGTAGATGCCCAGGCCAAACTCCTTGCCCCCTCGGATGTTGAAGCCCAGGCAGAAGTCATCGGAGGTCGTGTAGAGGTGGACGATGCGCCGCACCCCGTCCTCCGAGCTGCTCTCTGACGGCGTGGAGCTGCACTTCTCCACTACCAGCCGCCGATTCACCACGTCCACCCTGGGGCAGCAGCAAGGAGCCCTCAGCCTGGGCCCCCATCTGCCACCATCCCCCCACCTCCCAGCAGCCCCCATAACTGCAGGGGAAAAGTGGGGCTGCCTTTGGGGGACTTCCTAGGTCTAAGATCTTCAGTGGGACAAGGATTAATCAAATCTGAGAAATTATCCTAATTTTCTCGAATCCTCATAGGCCCAGGAGGAAGAGGCGCTGTTATTATCTTAAACTCAGCAGCAGCAGCAGCAGCCAGGGGGCAGGGCCGCTGGGGTCTGAGATAGCAGAGCTGCGGGAGGAAGTGGAGGAGTGGAGAGACAAGACCTTTTCTCATTTCAGGGTCAGGCCTTAGGGTTTCCGTGACCCATCCCCACGGGGTGGGAGAAGCAGGAGCCACACCAGCCAGGCCTGTGCAGAGCCCTTGCCCTCAGCCTCTCCTGCCCTGGCTTTGGGTAGGGGTCCAGGGGCAGGCAGGGCAGGCCTTCTCACCACGTGGTCTTCTCCTTGGAGAATTTGATGCCGGGCACACGGCCCATGCGCCTCACCATCATGTGCAGGCGGCTGCTGCCCGTCAGGACCTTCACGGCGCTGCCCATGGTGGTGCTCTCCAGGCTCAGCCCGTTCACCTCCGTGATCTTGTCCCCCACACACAGGCCAGCCCGCTCTGCGCCGGGGAGAGGGGCGGCTGGTGTGGGCCATTTGGGAGAAGGCCTCCAGCGTGAGGCTGAGCCCCCACAGACCAGGCTCCCTGGGGTGAAACTTCTTCCCTGAGATGTGGGATCCCTAGGGGGGTCTGTGTGTCCCATGTTCGACTAGGCACCTGTCCAGTAGCCCACTCCGCCCTGAGAGGGGGCTCCATCTCCCCATTAGATCAGGCCCTCCAAAGCCCAGGATTCTTCCTCCCATCCCTGACTAGAACCTCTGTGCCCCACTAAGATGGGGTCACATACAGCCCCAGGACCTCACCCCCGGGGACCCTGCTCACCTGCACTGCTCCCCTCCTCCACCTTGCTGACGAAGATGCCCAGGCCATGCTCAGAGCCGCCGCGCACGCTGAAACCCAGCCTCCCTGCTGGACTCTTCTCCACCCGGACCGCATGGATGATGTCGCTCTCATCACTGTTGGCTGTGGGGATGGGGACACAGGCATGACTCCCATGCCTGTTCTGAGCACAGTGGACCCCTGGGTTCCCCAACTTGGGGCCTGCAAAAGCTGGGTTGCTGGTCACAGGCATCCAGGGACCTACATGAGGGGGGCAGCCAATTTCTGAGTTTCCTCTGGGTGGCTTTGAGACTGTGGGCTAGGGAGGGGATGGGAGTAGACAGGACAGGACTCCAGGTGGGAAGACACTGTTCTCATAATATAGGTGTGTGTGTGTGTGTGTGTGTGTGCGCGCGCGCGTGTGTGTGTGCGTGTGCGCGTGTGTGTGTGTGTGTGTGTGTGTGTGTGTGTGAATCTGATGCTTAGTAAGCTTCCCATGCCCAAAGGCCTGGGATAGGCCAAATGCCTAAAAATATTAGTATTCTGAGGGTCAGAGAAATAGAAAAGAGGTTTAAGAATCCATTCTATGGAGCACAGCTGAGGAGTCTGGGCCCTTTAGCTTGCAGTGGAAATGAGCATGTCAGCTCCATCTTTAAATAGTTGAAGAACTATCCTGTGCAAGGTATTAGATGTTTTTGACTGTGCAACCCAGAGGACAGAACAAAACCCACATAATGGAATTATATGGAGGCCCACTGAGCAAGGGAAAACTTTCTGATACTCTCAGCTGTCAGCATGGAATGAGTTTTCCAGGAGGGAGAGCGAGTTCCTCATTTTTGGAGGTATACATGCGGACACTTGGTAAATCCCCGTCTAGGATGCTGTGGAAGGATCCCTGAGGTGCCTTCTGCCTCTTACACTCTGTGGTTCTGGAAGTAAGGGCTCTAAGAGCTACCTGACTCTCTGAAGAGAGAAACCAAACAGCACCCTGTGCAGCATGTGCCCAGAGCCCGGAGTGGGCCTCTCCGTCAGTGCTGGGGAAGTCAGAGGAGGAGGGCCCCGGGGGGCTGGACTGCCAGGGAGGGATTCTTGGAGGACTCAGACGGGTGGAATTAAGGGAAGACATTGATGAGGGATGGAGTGAGCAAAGGCTCAGAGGTGCGTCCTTGAGAAGGCCTTTTTGTTGGAGACTGGAGGGGTGAGAAGGTGAAATTTCTTCTTGGGGCTTACTCCAGAACTCTAAATCAATATCCCTCTTTCTCTCTCTCTCTCTCTCTGCTCTCTCTCTCTCTCTCTCTCTCTCTCTCTCTCTCTCTCTCTCACACACACACACACACACACACACACACACACACACACACACACACACACACATACACAGACACACACACTTCTGTTTCATCTAAGAAACCAGAGCAGCTCAGGGACAAATCCCCAAGGGCAGCCTGTGGGCAGGGATGGTGCAGTACAGAGACGTGGGGATCCTGGGACTTCCAGGGCAGTGTCCCCCGCCCCCATGTCTTGTAGCTCCTCTGGGGACTTCTGCTCCATGACCAGAATGACAGTGGTGGCCCTCAGCAGTGCCCTGCTGCTCACTCTGGGGTGAGGCTGAGTGTGTGGATGATGGGTGTGCTGGACCACTGGTGGAGGAAAGCCTGATTCCTGAGTTACATGCCCCAGAGGCCCGGGTAGAGGAACAGGGATGCCCAGACGGGCCAGGGGGAGGATCAGGGTCTGAAAAGTTCAGTCTGGGATTCAGCCAGGGCACTCTGCTGGCTGAGGGACAGGAGGGGAGCTGGAGATAGTTGTCTGGTCCTATCTGCAGAGAGCCCAGGCCCAGAGAGCCCCACTTCCCTGCTGTCATTCAAGGTCCTGCTTTGCTCATCTGCTCTTTGTTGTCTCACACCTGTCACTGCAGCCAGGCTGTCTCTTCAGTGCCTGCCCCATCATGCTTCGTGCTTTCTATGTCCATCCTTTGTCTGTGATACCCCCACCCCCTCACCAGCTGTTCCCGTTGCCGTCTCTAAGCCCTGCTACACCGTAAATTTCTGAAACTGAAGACTGAGCCTTCTTTCTCTCTAGGTTCCCTGAAGAACCTAACCAGGGCTGGTACAGAACTGGTGTGCAATGAAGTGGCATTAAGCATCTACATAAGCTTAGGTCTCCCCTCCTTCAGGGCCCAGCCCTGGGGCTCCTTCCCTTACCCCCACCTTCCTTTTCTCCCCACTCTCCTAAACATTTGCTACTCTATCTTCATTTCCTTCCTTTTGCATGTGGAGCCTTTCATTCCGTCTGCCCAGCTGGGCCCTGGTTCCTCCCAGCTCAACACAGAACTGGACACGCAAGAGGCTGGTGGATGGGGGGTGTCCTCCGTCCTGCACATGCCCCAAAGGCATACGCAAATGGGTTTGGACAAAGGTAGCATCTATGAAAAAATAGAAACAAAAACAAAAGCAGCAGAGGAGCAAAGCGGGACCGTGAATGACAGCAGGGAAGTGAGGGCTCCCTGGGCCTGGGCTTCCTATAGACAGGACTAGATATCTCCAGCTCTTCTCTGTCCCTCGGCCAGCGCCCTGGCTGAATCCTAGACTGGACTTTCCAGACTCTGCCCAGCTCATTTGGGGCTAGCATACCACACACACACACACACACACACACACATTCCTACACCTTTCCCGGTGGCTATGCCCTATTTCCCACCTCTGCCCTCTCTGCAATCCTGGAGTCCTAAAGGACTGGCCTAAAGGAGCAAAGAAAGTAGATGAGGAAGAGTGTATGGGTTCCCAGAAGCCCCCCCACCATCCTTGGGGCTCCCATCTCTTGAGTTCCCCCACCCATACTGGCTCTGCCTCCTTCTACTTAGCGCCATATGTCCTCTCCCCCCACCCTCTGCTCCGGCCTCTGCTGGGCCCCACCCCCACCTTCGATGGGGGAGTTGATGAGGATGACACGGCCCATGGGAGATGAGGCTCGGATTCCGCGGGAGGGCCCATTCAGCAGCCGCTGTTGCTTCCTCAGCAGGTATCGCGTTGCGGAGCCTGTGTCGCTGCCCAGGTGGCCTCGGGAGGAGAGGGAGCTCAGAGAGCCAGAGCTTAGGTCTCCAAGGCCCAGTGGGTCGAAACCCACCAAGAAACCGTGCGCCATGGCGGCTAGACTACAGGTCCAGAAGGAACCTGCTAGCCCTCGGGAGGAGGGCTCCGCGTGCTCCGGGCTCCATGAGCCTTCTGGGCAGGACTGGGTTCCCAGTGAACCGGAGCCCTCACCTCCGCTGCCTCTCTGGAGTGTGCACTAGGCCTGCGCAGGGAGAGGGAGGGATTGGAGGAGGGGTGTGAGGGCTGCCCCCCAGAATTTCCACCCCTCCCCCTGGTTTGAGCATCCTGCCCTCCCATGCCTTAGGCCAGAGAACTGCCCATCCAGGCACCACCATGGACTTTTGGAGCTATTCACACCAGGCGGGTGGGAACCTCTCCTTCACCCCTCATTCCTGCTCTCAGCTGAGTCATCTACTCAGTCTCTATCCTCATAGGAGGTTGAGAGTGGAGGAGATGGGGTTGTGGCAGGCCCTGGGGCTTCAAGCGTGTGAGAGAAATTGGGGCCAGGGCAGTTTATCGCCCACCTCTCTTGTGTATGGGAGTAGGGGGTTAGCCAGTATTTGGTGCTCAGGCCTCAAGGGCTGGGCTTCAGGACCTGGGACAGCTGCAGCCAAAGACCAGAGATGTCCCGGCCCAGAGACCCCCAGGCCCAGAGTGCTGTCCCCTCTGTCCCCCTCCTCTCCCGTCTTAAGAAGTTGCATGGCCCTCTCCCAGGCTTTGTAGAGGACCTGCTGGCGAGAGCCCCATTACATCCCCTGCAAACCCGGGGCCAAGTCCCCTAGAGCAGATCTCAGCGCATCCCCCCCGATCGGTCCTCCTGGCGCCCCCACCTCTCGGTCTCAGCCCCCGGAGCCCCTC